AACGTGTAGCATTGTACTTTGTACTGTATTGAAGTATTAGCGAGTTATATACACATTTTTATCCAACAAAATGTGACCTTCACAATACTGCCGAAACGGAGGGACGGGAAGTGGGATATCATGCGAGCAAAAAAGGGGAATTTGACCACTAAATGCATTAGAAAGCTCAGAACGAACACTCTCTTGGTCGATCAGTGTCCGGGTAAGATAGGGTAACAAAGGATTTCTGTGAGCAGATATCCGAGATGGAATGCGTTTGTAGTAGGAATAGGCAGATGCTTGTACACAGGTCAATGTGTAAAGGACGAGTGCAATTAGATAGAATATAGCCAACAAATTTCAAGCACACGCATTAATATGAACAATACACTTATTGTCCATCAGAACAGATAAGGGAACTTGGGAAACACGGCTGATCAATCAGAGACCACGCGTCATCAGCTGAAAACCAGCCTTCAACAAACCAGGGAAAATTACAAGGGAGCAGTAAAGGAATAGAGGGAGAATACACTGTTGAACAAAAGCTATTATCACCGACAAATCAGAACAGAAGTGACGCAATCTTTTTACGTGGAAATAGAGAACTTTTAGCTTGCGGGGTATGTAAAGACTAGTGAAAATTAGTTTCAAGTGTGAAATCTAAGTACTTCACATGTCTGATCATGATCATCGACTTTCCCTGAATCTGTACATTGTCACAGGGAGACATGGGCAACGGTTCAAAGTAAAAATTACACTGAAGAAATTTTTCCGGTTTAATATTAAGACCGGTCGAAGTGGAATACGTAGCAAGGTGGCACAGGTTTGCAATGAACAGTTAGTTCTGATTAGTTAGATACGGAAACGAAGATGTCGCTATGGTCCGCATAATTAAGCTGTCTTACATAGAGAGTAATAGGAAAGTTATTGATATAGGTCGATCAAGTTAGAGAGAGAGTGATAAGGCACCAGCACCCTGAAGTACACCCGAACTATTAGGGTGACAACACCGTTAAGTGTCTTATTCCCAATTTAACATACTGATAATTTTGCACAAATCAATTGCCAAGCAATTCATTCCATGTTGGTGATGTGAAAGTTTATCCACAAATGTTTTAGTTCGTTTTGAGAAGAAGTATAATTGTAAAAAACAACCGTTAAAGCACGAGCCACTAGATGATCAGGGCGTCGTGTGAACAATTCGAGTTTGGATTCGTTAGTTACGCGCCGCTGCTGATTTCTAACAAGTGAATGACATGTTGACATCGTCGACGGAATATATTTTTCTGATAAAACTGTCTTTTAAAAATCCGTTTTCAGGTTGGGTCAACACGAATCCAGTCGTTTTGTTCCTGGAAACTCTGGAGTGGGTCAGCTCCCGACTACGTACAAGTCGAAAGCACAAGTGAGTTCGTTTTCGAAAACTAGGGTGGGGGACTCGAAGTCGTTCACACAGTGGATGCGTGATGATTCGGTGTCGATTGTGAAACAATTTTTTCTCTCAGACAAAACGCACTGATGCCATGTGAAAAAATATAAATGTAATTCGATTTTGATAAACTTCAAAGTGAAATTAGCTCCTCAGCTGACTGTTGCTTCCGGTAAATTTATCTTGGTGACAGAGTTGGATTGAATTACCAACAGTATTTAAATACATTTTCACACACGTCTGAATTCAGACTGTGACAAACAAATCATGGTACAAAAATCTTCATGAAAATGAAAAATATTGCATGATTAGCTAATGGGCGGAATACTGCCAGGTTGCCCAGGTTGGCCAATGCAGGTGAATTTGATTGAGGAATTCACAACCGGAGCCTTCGGCTAGCCAAAGCTTGACCCTCAAGGTAGCGAGGCGTTATGGGAAAGCCGCAATCTATTGGAGATCGGTATCCAGTTCATCGGGTCATTCGCTCTTTGGACGGGGTCAAACGTCCAAGGTACCCAAAACACCTCGATACCCAATTGAGCCGGTAACCACAATCACCAAAACCGGGAAGGTCTGTGTGATTCTTACGCTTCCTCATTGTTGGTTTGTAATCAGGGTTTTTGGCCAACTCCTCCAGGTGAACTACCAGTGGTCCACCAAACCGGTTATAGCCCCGGATGTTGGCTTTGCGTTCTCTCACTTTGGTGGGGAAACACCCCCGCCCCACGAGAAGGCAGTGAGTAGGACTTCCTCAGCAGAGGCTATTCGAGACACTTGGTCAAGTATGGGAGCGTTTCGCGAGAAGAGTGACCAGCCGCAACCCTATACAGCCACCCCCAACCCTACTGGGGCTTTTGGAGGCCAACAGTACATGTTCCTAGATCAAAACTCAGTCCATTTGGAACACTTAAAATCGATGTGGACGATGTACTGGTTATAATCACCTCCGGCTACTTTAAGTAGGAGTTGATGGGTACCAGTGCATGATATACTGGCCAAGAAACAGCCCGTAGAAGTCAGTGTGCACCTCTTGTCAAGGCGTGCAACTTTCTGGCTATGGTAACCAATTCTTCGGTCTTGACTTCTGCTTGTGCATGCAAGCTGCGCAGTTCTTGGCTATTCGACCGATGTCTTGGTCCAGGTCAGACCATCAACCGATTTGTCGCGCCAACGACTTCAATCCATCAGATTAAATGTGTGTAGAGCGAAAATTTTTTTCTCTTCGGAGAGTACCATGGAACGTTGCTGATCAAATCATATCCGTGGGCGGCGGTGGTCAAGCGATTAAGTCACGAACTTGTGGCCTTGGAGTCCTGGGTTCGAGCCGCTCCACAGCCGCCCGTCTCCCGTATATCTGTATTTTCCCAGGCAGCCTTTGTTGGGACGCGGTGCCCCTTCACAAATGTTGACTGTACATTTGTATATTCAATAAATAGAAAAAAATAAGTAAAAAGACATCATCGTCGTGTACAACGGTTCGAATAGTGGCACAGTGGTTTAGTCGTTCTCATCGGCATGTTCTGGACCCTATGGTTCGAGGTTCGAACCCCTTCACCACCACCCGACTTTAACGGTGGGCAGCTCAGCTGTCGTCCGGCTCAATACCACGCGTAACCTAACGGGGCCTTATGTGGTTCGCTACTTCAAATCCTGCGGCTTAAGTTGCCAGTTTCCACCACCGAACAGAAGGTCCTCGTGACTATGAGATTCGCCCCGTTTGCCGTTCATCACACGTGGGTGTGTATTAAAAAAAGAGTGGTTAGTTGACCTGTAAAAAATACAACACTATTCTTCGGTATTCTTATTTTCTTAAGAAATCAGATCTGGCCTGATTTTCTTACGGTCACTATCTGCCTCGAAAAACCTAACAGGTGGAGCTAGTCTACTCGATGAGAGGCTAAAGCCGGACCCTGTGAAGGTCAACTAAGTGCGTTTTCATTCTCGACAGTGACTATCATCTGTTCCATGTCCAACGCAGTCCCTCTCTCAAACTGAATCCAATCCTTCATTACTCTCAAGTAGTGGTAGTTGTAGTAGGCGCGGATCAAGAATCACGGACCCGATGGAAACACTAGCACTTGCATATTGGTATCTCACCTAACGGAGACGGTCACAGAAGTAGCAGTTCGTTGAACTGAAAGAACTCAACGGCGATTAAATAATATGTTGAAAGGAAGTTGGCGTTAGTGAGTTCTCCGAGATGGAAGGGTTCTTCGCATGCGTGCTTGAATTCTTGAGGCCATACAGCTTCTGTCTGGCCCGAGCAAATTCTGATTAGTTGGCACGATTGCCTGTATTTCGTTATACAGAAACCGAAAGGTATAGGCGTTTGGCTGACATCATTCGGGAAGGTTGACTCACCACAGTTGTGCAGAAACTGTAACGCATCGCTCCGGGGTTGGCGATATCCCATAGGCTAGGATCACCACATCATCCCCCGGCAATCATTGTTCGGTTACCCTGCCATACTCGTTTAGTTTTCTTTCCGTAACACACCGGTCCATTGCTTCAAAGATCGTCAATCCATGCTCATTTCTAATCAATAAGGGTTATGTATATGACGTGTGTGTGTGTGAAAGAGTTCATGCGTAACTTTTTCGTTTCCTCATGCGTTTTCGTTTCTTCCTAGCGAATTACTCAATCAACTCGAACGTATCCAATTTTGTCGCGTTTGCGAAGCGTGTAACATCGGTTATGCGGATCTGATTGGGCCACAAGGAACCGGTGAGAATCGATCGGGTGACACAAATTCTCCTGGTCTGCAAAAACTGATTTTCCACGTACGATGTATTGCTGCACAGGCCAATCGTCCAGTTCTGCGTGTACGTCGGATCTTTCCCGCGGCGAATCAGCTTCGAAGACAAACTGCCCATGGTCCAGGGTCTCAACAAGTGACGCGTTCGGTCATATTCCCGAATGAAAGTCATCAATTTATGCTCTTGTCTGCTTGGACTGTGGCCGAGGCGTTGAAACGTATCACGACCCGATTGATGGGCATTCCGCGGACCGTCGTGAATTTGAATCAAACCCCCACGGAAATCTCGTTGGGAGAACTCGTTCGGTTGTTGCGTCGCACGAGGCCAGAAAAATCTAATGGGATCATAGTATACAAATCCTCTGCGCCGACTTGTAACTGGCTTGCATGTTCATCTGATGGCACATTGACAATACGGTGAGTTGGGCACAGTGAGCTTCTTAATTTAGGGTCTCTCGGTGATTTAGTGTTATGAGAGGCGCACAAACAGTGGAACGTCAAGTGGTGATTGAGCCTGACAGACAGTGACACTGACAGTTCAGTGAACATACTCAAAGCGGTATAAAAAGCCTGATTCATTGGGAGTCAAGTGGACATCTATAGTGTGTAGGAGGGTATTGATTGAACTGGTCGTTCGGTCAGCTCCGAGTGAGGACATGGACAACCCGCACGCCTTCTAAGTTTGATGACTCAATGCAGAGGCATCGCGGATCACAGGTCGTGAGATAGTATCCTCATCTGTAAAATGCTTCCATAAACAAATACACCAACGATCTCATTAGAATACCCAGGGGGTAACTGCGACTCAGCGAAACATAGTCCTCAACGGATTGATATGTACCACTTACACTTACACTCGTAGCATCGCAAAACGTAACCATCTCTACCCCGCTGGTGCTCCGGGACGTGCATTATATACCCCCTCCCCCCGTTGCATAAATTTTCCTCGGGAATCATTCCCAGATCGTGCGTGCATGTACATGTGCGTGCTTTTGTGCATATTCTGGA